CAACAAATGTGTTTTTGCAGACTTCAACAGTTACGTTGAAAGGGCGAGATAGAAAGCGCCAGGCCCTTGCTATTATCGATTCAGCTTCACAAAGAGCTTGTATTCTAAAAAGCACTGCAGATGAAAATAATTCGAGAGTACATCTAAAGAAAGATTGAGCCGTTCATTATTTGGCGGGTCATGTTCTGATGTCATAAACCACAATGTTTTTACAGTGTTCTTCTCTAAAACGGATGGAACTTATCATTGTAACTTCAAAGGCCTTCAAATTCTTAGCCAAGATATTATTTGTGGAAGTATACCACCAGTTGCTAAAGGTGAGTGGATTCGAGAGCTTAAAGAGAACAATATTTCCGTATCCGACAATAATAATGGACCAATAGAAATACTTATCGACACTGACATTGCAGGCAAGTTGATGACCGGAGGATTTAAATTGCTTACTTCAGGTCTTGCTGCTATAGAAACAAAACTTGGTTGGACTCTTTTTGGGAAAAATGGTATGCGTGAGATCTCGGACAATTCCGCACTGCTCGTCACATCCATGTTGAATAAGGAAATATTGATATCCGATCTATGGTCTCTAGATTCACTTGGAATTCTAGATCCATCAGAGAAGAAAAATAAACTGGAACTTCAAGAAGAGGCAAGAGATCATTTCTTGTCTACTGTAAAGGTGAACGAAGAGGGGCGTTTTCAAGTCAGCTTGCCATGGCTTGATAACCATCTACCGTTAAAAGATAACTATGACTTAGCTGTAAAGAGATTAGCTTCTACAGTAAAACGACTAAAAGCTGAGAAACGTTATGATGCTTACGGAGAAGTTTTTAGTGAATGAGGATGAGAAGGCGTCATAGAAGAAGTACCAAAAAGCGAAATTGATGTAACATGCCATTATCTACCACATCGACACGTAGTAAAAGAAAACAGTACTACACGAATCAGGCCAGTGTTTGATGCCTCGGCCAAACAAAAAGGATCCCCTAGTCTCAATGATTGTCTAGAAAAAGGTCAGAACCTTATCGAACTGATTCCTTCAATTCTTCATAGATTCCGAATGAACAGAAATAGGAGTTTCTGCAGATATACGAAAAGCATTCTTACAAATAAGTCTCAACCCTAAGGATAAAGACTATCTAAGATTCTTATGGTATAGAACTGATGGAAAACTGAAGTATTACAGGCATTGTAGGGTAGTATTTGGAGTTACAAGCAGCCCTTTCTTGCTAGTTTCTGTAATTCACCATCTTCTAGAATCCACTTTGAAACAACTAAATGGAAACCCAAAGTATAAAGTGGATATTATTGAGCAATTGAAGAAGAGCTTTTATGTAGATAATTGTTTAGCGAGTGTGAAAAATGATTTAGAATTGCAACAATTCATACAAGTTGCTTCAGATACTTTAGCTACAAGAAAGCTAGAATTACGTGGTTGGGAATATAGTGACCCAACAGATAATTCCTCTAGTACCACAAATGTATTAGGAATGATTTGGGAACGATGTGGAGATTACCTTTGCCTTAATATTACTAACATCACCTACAATCTACTCGAAATTTTGTCTAAAAGAGAGATTTTAGCTACTACACACAAAATATTCAACCCTTTAGGAATAGCTTGCCCCGTATTTCTTGTGTCGAAACTTTTACTTCAGCACCTATGGGAAGTTAAGTTATCTTGGGACCAAGAAGTTGATTCAAATTCAAAATCACAATTTTGTAAATGGTTGAATGATTTGAAGTACCAAGATGGTTAAACTGTGATCGTGAGATTTAAAATGTCTCACTTCATTTCTTCAGTGATACGAGTAAACTTGCATATTCAACTGTGTGTGTGTTTTTGTTTTTTTTTTTTTTTCGAGAACAAACAAGAAATTTGGTTCAAATTCATTTGGTGCAAGCTAAAGTAAGAGTTGCACCCAACAGAAGGATAAAGACAACAATAACTCGATTGGAACTTCTTGGAGCTACGAGATGTACACGTTTAGCATCCAGCATAATACCTGAATTTCAAGCTGATGATATTTATTTTTGGACAGATTCGTCTACTGTGCTAGCTTGGATACAGAGGAAATGAAGTAATGGGACGTATTTGTTCACAACAGAATTAAGGAAATAAAGCAACTGACTTCTATTGAATCTTGGAGGCACGTACCAGGATCACTGAATCCTGCTGATTTGCCCAGTAGAGGATGCTCTGCTTCTTATTTAATTAAATCTAGATGGTGGGAAGGTCCTAAATGGCTATATTTATCACCAGAAAAATGGCCAAAAGAAGATTTTAGTGCTGATGAAGAAGAAATAGCTCTTGAGAAAAAGAAAAGGATTATTTCGTCCTTAATAAATCTTAATGCTAGTGAAATAGTTGCTACTAGATTCTCAAGTTATCGTAAGACAATCAGACTGGTAGCGTGGATGTGTCGTTTTGTTTACAACTGTAAACATCAAAACAAGAAAAAGGATGAACTTACTGTATCTGAGTTAAATGAAGCAGAGAATATCTTGATTCGTTTAATACAAAATGAATCCTTTAATGGAATAGAAGATGAATGGATTTTTTAAGTCTTAATCCATTCATTGATTGTGGGATCATCAGAACTAAAACAGCGATATTTCAAAGAGAAGATACATCTGAGTTCAGAACTCCTGCTATTTTGCCAAGTGATCATCCTCTTATAAGAAGTTTAATAATGGAAGAACATAAGTTGAAAGGACATATTGGAGTTTCTCACGTCCTAAATTCTTTAAGAGAAAGATTTTGGATATTAACGGGAAGAAGAGTTGTGTCATCCGTTTTGAAAACTTGTATAACCTGTAAGCGTTTTTCAAACAAAAATGTTAACCCACCAGCGCCACCACTTCTTAAGAGATCGGGTACAGAATGCCTCAAATAACTGGCATAGATTATGCTGGACCTATATTTCTAAGAGACTACAAGATGGCATGGATTTGCCTATTCACTTGCGCAGTGTACCATTGTGTTCATTTGGAATTGGTTACATCCTTAACGAGAGATACTTTTCTACAAGCATTTTATCATTTTGCTGCTAGATGTGTGAAGCCATCCATAATTTATACTGATAATAGAACGAATTTTGTACGAGCACGCAATGCACTTGCTTCAATCGATTTCAACGAAATTACAAAAAAAGGAGCTAATGAACGTATTATTTGGAAGTTCATTCCCCCAGGCGCTCCATGGTGGGGGGTCTGGTAGGAATGCCTCATAGGAATGATGAAAAGAATATTAGGAAATGTTCTTGGGAGAGCCTGCCTTAGTTATGAGGAAATGTGTACTGTTTTGTGTACCTGTGAAGCTATCCTAAATGATAGACCTTTAACAGTTGTATCGGCCAATTCAAGTCTCACTTCCATAACACCTAAAAAATTTTTACGGGAAATACAAAACCATTCAGTGCCAATTGTAAAACATAACTTCAATTCTAACTTTTTATAAACGTAGATTGCGTTATATCCAAAATGTTAACCATGTTTTCACAGAAAAGATTTCGCCAGGAATATCTGGGAACTTTGAAAACAACAAGCAAAAAATTCGCTAGAAGTTGTAAATTAAAAGGAGACATTGTCTTAATTGGAAGCGATGACAAAAGGAGATTAAATTGGCCTCTTGGTAAAATCATACAATTATTTCCAGGTATCGACGGTGAAAGTCGACGAGCCAGAATTAAAGGGCAAAATGGAGAAGTCATAAGAGCTGTACAAAATCTTTATCCTTTGGAATTATCGACTGCCGAGGAACTTCCATCGAAATTCAGTGGAAGTCAACGATGCAAAAATATTTCGGTAGAGCAAACTCCAATTGATGATGTACCTTAAGAAACAAATAGAATAATCCATACCCATTTAAAATCGTCCACAATAACCAAATCAGGAAGGACAACTAGAGTTCCTTATCAATTGGACTTGTGAGAACAATGTTTAATTTTTTATTATTTTGCAATACTCAATCCCGAATTTCATATTGCAAGGTGGGAGGATGAACAATATTTTGACTCTAATATTTTTGTTTACATTTTTTTTTTCTAACTGCAGCTTCTGAGTAATATTGCTCGAGTTTCAAGCAGATATAATCGTTTTCTTTACTCTATAGGTTTTTTTTTAATTCATTATCTATTCATATTATTATCTATGTTTTGTACAGTTTATGTTTCAGAGAATGGCAATATCCTATGTTCTTTCTTTTTTTTTTTTTTAGAGAGTTAGTGTGTTTTTTTTTTTTTTTTTTTTTTTTTTTCCTTCCCTCCCCATTTTAGAGTATGAGTAAAAAAATCATAAATAACTAAAGAGATATAGATAGTTATTTCCGAGTAATAAAGAGTAATAAATAGTTTCTTGAGGTAACAAATTTGGTGAGAATTTTTGAACAGCATTCAATTCATATTTTAATTATTGGTAAAATAGCTGAATATCATCCGATCAGTGCTGTTATTAAATAAACATTGATTTGCTTATTACAGCTACCACGTTTCTCCCTTTTAAAAGTTCAAATAAGTATTTAAAAGGACAGTCAGTCCGGCCATGTAAAAAAAATGAATGTTATCAAATTCTGTACCATCTGTTCTTGTTATGCTTTAATTGCCTTAAATCTGCATTTTCTAAAAAAAAAAAAAAAAAAAAAAAAAAAGCTTTTGAAATTTTAAAAACTTTACAAGTGATGAAACTTCTCACTAAAATGATTTCTTTTTAAATATGTAAGGCTGAAGCATTTTATTGATATGGAGGTACTATGTTAGATTGTTGAAAACATAAAAAAGAATAATTTTTTTGTCAATCCTAACAGCTTTGTTTTGTGTAGTGCTAAACATTTTCATGTAAAATTTAGTAATGCGGAATCCCTCCTGTACTTCAGGATTATGGATAAGTTGTGTTGAGCAAGAAAAAATCATTGTGAAAATAATCTGAATATTGCTTTTTATTTGCATTTTATTATTTTAATCTATTTCAAAAGAATGATGAACTTTATTTTGTAAATATTTCAGTGTTTTTCTGGTGAGAGAAAGTAGGAGAAATCCAGGGAGCTTTGTCTTGTCGTATGTCTATAATCACAAAGTTCATCACTGCCAAATTTTCCCTGTAAGAATCTGTTTATTTCTTGGTGTTTAATTTTCTTTATTTTTCCTTGTTTATGTTCTTTCTTTCTTGAAACCTCTTACTAATAAATTTATTTTGTAATATAAAAAAACAAATGATTCTGTTCCTATGTGTTAGTGCATGAAATTCTTATTTATATGCTAGGAATATTTTGATTAACTTCCATTATTTGAAAAGAGTTTTTTTTTATGAAAGGATATTTTTGTCTTTAAATAGCCATTTTTTGTTAAATTTTGAGCCTTTAATTAAAAATCTGTATGCTGATATTAGTACGGAATATCGAAACTTTTGTAATTTTTATGTTAAAATTAAATTATTTGACAGTAAATCAGTACTATTGCTATTATTAATCAGTGTGGGATTTGGATCGATTTTTCATAATTTAATATCAAATGGAGGAAATGTATATTTTTTCTGCATCTCGTATAAATTCTGGGATGAAGCATCGTGTGAAAAAGATAAGCAAACATAAGGGTTACTAAATTTTCTTCTCTGCACAAGGACATTATACGCGTCTCGAAAAAAGTCAAAATGATGATCTAGCTCATAATGTCATAAAAAAAACTGCCTTGCTTTAAAATCAAAAATTAAAATTAGGAAAAAAAAAGGGAGGGAAAAGACTCCTTGGGTTTTGAGGTTAGTATTACTATGTATTTTCATCAATTGATTATATTTTATACACTGATTGACATTTTTGGTGTGCAGTTATTATTAATACAGTCAAAAGTTGTTAATCCGGACTCGTCAGGACTTCGCCAATTCCGGATTATTGATTTTTCCACATTATAGATCATCAGTTTAAATCTGGTAAGATGGCATGCAGAAATTATAAAATTAAAAATATGAAACCATAATTTATGAAATAAAGAACAATTATGATATAAAAAAAAATATCAAAATTTACAAAAAAAAAAAAAAAAAAAAAAAAAAAAAAAAAAGCTTAATATTTATTTGTTTTCTTTATTAAACATTTCTTTCAATGTAAGTTGTTTCGTTTTATGTGATAATACTTTCTCTTTAATTCTATAAAGACATAATTTCTTGTTCAGTTACAAAGTTCAGCTGTTCAAGTCCTATAATTACTGTGTCGAGAATACTGACTAATTTGTCAATCGAAATTTCTTTGTTTTCAATAACCTCTCTGTCACTTTTATAATTCGGATGCGAATTATAATGATGAGGAACTTGATTTAAATCAAAGACGGAGTACATCGAGATGAAATACTACATTTAGTAAGGAATTATAAGCCAAATAAAATAAAAACATCTGCCCTGATGATAAGGATAGTGCTGACAGATCAACTTCCAATTCATTGCGCGCCACGTCGTTTCCCTCCCCCCGCAGAGCAGCGTGAAATTGATAAACATATTTCGGAATGATTAGATAATCAAAGGATGTGCCTTTATTCATTTTTTGCAGCAATTCCACTTTCTCTTTAATGGACTTTGAAACATACCTTCGCTTTGTAGATCCTTTGGGAGCTCCAGCATCCAAAATTCTATTTGACATAACGAAAGTTCAAGCTTACTTTTATAAAATTGCTCTAACAGTCTGCAGATAAAAATAAGCCGGATCCAAATCGAAGATTAAGGAACAACACAATCTGCAACATTAACTGAAATAGATAATTAGATAATTTTAGCTTATACCGTCCGTTATACATTAAACGTGCATGCGTAAACGTATTGTGCGTATGCGCACACGCATATGCGCAGCCGTAAAGGTCTTACGCGATGCATGCGCAGAAAGTTTGTATCTTTGATGTCCGGATTATGGGTGTCCGAATTAACGACGTTTGACTGTATAAAGTGAAAATTTTTAAACAAGCTGGAAAGATGAATCAGTTATGAATGGCATTGATATGTTTTACATGGAAACCGGATGCATAGTGTTGTGGATACATTAAGTTATTTCAAAGCAGGAGAGATGAAAAATGAGCAATGCCCTTGCCAGGACTCGAACCTCGGACTTCTCGAATACGTGCTGATTGTGGTAGCTTACACCATGAAGGCATGCTAAGAAGGCAGGAGAAATACCTTATATACTCCTGCTTTTAAACAGTGCCTGGGATTAGGGGATCCAGTTGCTAAATCCTTGTGGTGGAGAATCGTCATCCACCACCCTTTTAGTTTGGGTTCCACTGTAGAGACATTAGGTTATTTCGAAAGCAGGAGAGATAAAAAATTAGCAATGCCCTTGCCGGTACTCGGACCTCTGGAATACGCGGCAAGTGTGCTGGCCGTTATATCATGAAGGCATGCTAAGAAGGCGGAGATATCTCTTATAATCTTCTATAGCATATGTGCTAATGTGCATATAGAGATTTATACCAAGCGTATGTGCTAATGTGCATATAGAGATATTTTATAGTTTAATATTTGCCTCATTTTATAATGGACCTATTTATTTTTCCTGCCCATTTAAGAACAAAATTTTTGTGTTGTTTGTCTTGCCTTGGAAATGTTTGGTTGGATGACTTTTTTCAAATCTTCTATTTCAGTATTCTGTCTTGCATTTCTTGCTGCCACTGTAAATATGCTTTCATCAAAAAGGGTACATTTGTGCAAGTATATGTATGACTTTAATAGCATTTTTCAGTCCCCCCTACTTTTCTATAATGGGGTATCAGTAATTATAGGCTTCATTAAATGCTTTAGTAAAATGTTGCGTAGTAAAACTTCAATTTATTCATAAAAACCTCTGCATGTGCAATGGAATTTCACTTTTTGGTACTCAAATAGATCAGTATTCAAGATACAGTAAGACCCCGCTTAACGTGGTGGATACGTTCCATCAAAGTAGAGCGTAATACGAAACAGCTCTAAACGAGGCTATCTTAACATGTAAATAATGGGGTTAGGGAAAGATGGATAGGAAATTGGTTAGGGTATTAAATTTAATAATTTTTTTAATAAAAATAAAACCAAACATTTATTTCTTATAAAAATAAAAACGATATAAACGAATATACTTATAAAAAAACAAATAAAATTCTCAGTCAGTCAGATCATTCAGTCTATTCTGTGTTTCCAATTTTCTGCTTTTTTGTCAAGAAGGCATCTAATGTTGAATCTACTGAAGTTGCCAAATTCAATGCAGCACTGATTTGAGATTGGCGTTCACCAGAATCTAATCTTCTAATCACATGCATTTTAATTTCCAGTGAAATGCTTTTTCTGGTTGCTTTCTTTTCTTGTTTTTTATTATCACCCATGATAAAAACTAAAGATCATAATATTTGTCACTGTATTAATCGTTATAGTATTATATAAGTTTATACTTACAATAATGTCAACAAATGTTTCAAATGATAAAAATGCGTCCGGACAGCACTGCACCAAACAAGAACAACAACTACACTGTTCCAGATATGTTATTTGGAAACCTAGCGCTGCGCACAATTTCAGGAAATCCCCGGGTTGAAATAAAAGAGCGCTAAACCGAAACAGCGTTAAGCGGGGTCTTACTGTATTTCAAATTTTCTTATGGTTTTTTTCGTCCTAATATATTGTGATATTGAGGAAAATCCATCTGTCTTGGTCTCCCAAAAAGGATACCCACATGAAATCAGTATGATTTTTTTCATCTTTTCACCATTATCTATTTTACCCTTTTTTTTTCAACTTAAGGAAGCGATTAAAATTATTTGATGAAATTTACATTTAGAATATATTCAACATCTGACAACTGAAAATGATTTTGGAGTTAGCATAAGTGAACATCAGTGCAGTGGTTTAGGGTGCCAGTTACCTTATCCTAAGGACCAGGTATGAATACTGGCCTTAGGAATCACGCATGTGTAAACATATTATGCGCATGCGTAAACGTATTATGCGCAGAAAGTTTGTAGCTTTGAGGTCCGGATTATAGATAATTTTGGATTATGGATGTCCAGATTAAAGACTTTGTAGTGTATAAGACATACATGTTCAATACATATTCATTGCAAAAACAAATAAACTTATATTTAAATTAAGCAAAGTCCAAATCATATTTTGCCATGGATTTTGAGTACATCAGATCGCCCTCTAAATCAGAACCTTATTTTGCCTCTTTAGCATGTTTCTCTTTCAAGTTGAAACATACATAATTTGTACATGTGCAAGCTTCCAGGAGTGAATAAAATGCAGATCTCAGAAAAATAAAATACCAGATTATTCAGAATTCTACGAAACATTAAGAAAAAAAATTAAAATAAAGCTGCTGAATCCATATTAAATTTTATTTACTGAATTTAATGTATTCTTATTAAGTCACCGTGGGTATACATTTTATGAATGCTTGCTTAAACAGTAGTCATTTAAAAAAATGTCAGCATCCTGAAGATTACATAAAACTGTAATGATTAATGAAATTAAAAATGCAAGAAACATCCATAATGAAACATAAAAAATTACATAAAACAAACATCTGTAACGAAACACTCAAATTTACATGAAATAGCAACAAATTAACTAAATTAAAAACACATTAAACAGCCATGTATGAATCCATCCAAAACTTTCTTTTTTCCTGTACATGTGCACAACAGTGGCGTAGCGAGGGGGGCAAGGGAATGTATGATGCCCCAGGCGCCGCTCACAGAGGGGCACCAAATGGTCTCGAAACAAGATTTTCATCATATCAATGTGTTTTTTTTTTGGGGGGGGAGGGTGATAAAAAGGTATTTTGTCCCGGGCGCTAGTTATGCTTGCTAATCCACTGATGCACAGTGATATTTTTAACTTATAAAAACGTCAGAGAATTGTAGACTTCTCAACATTGCAGATCAAATTAGCACTGCTTTCCATGCACACATTGACCTGTTTTAACTTAAAAAAATATTGTCAAATTTGTAAAATGCCAAATTAACTATAGCAAACAGAAACCACAAACATGACCCTTGAATTTTAACACTGTGTGGATTACCACCATTGCTAGCCTAATGCATGTGCAACTATTAGTGGATTGCCTGATAATTAAATTTTCATAAAATTCTGGGTTGTATACTTTGGCAACTACTCACAGCTTTGCCTGCTGATTCTTTTCATGGTTGAGGGGATAATGCAATAGTACTTCACTCCTTTTGATAAGACTTATCGAATTTCAGCAGCAGGAAGAAAAATTTGTTCACATGTAAATGTATTCTCAAACAAAGCAATTATTCTGATACCAACGATTTGTTACTTATTTTTGACATGCTTGAAAAACGTTTAATCAAATCTGTATCTTTAAATAAGATTTAGTATGGTATAAATTAATTAGCTCCATTTTGAAGAATTGCTGGGATGTTACTCATGTTCATTTTTAATGATAACGAAAAATAATATAAAATTGGATTCAGAACTATTAAAATCTTAGAATCTTCAAATTCTTCCAATAATAAATAAGTCATAATAATCCTAATTAATTTAGGGGAAATGCCACAGGTTCACAGTGTGAGAACATTGATCTAATTAAATAAAATATATAAAGCATGAGAATGAATGATGCAAGCTAGGAGACATTTCTACCAGCTTTTATGGTTTACAAGATCTGATAATCAGATAAGATTTTTTTTACCTTTGTTTGCTTAAGAGGCTTTTGATATTCAAGTTGAAAACAAATAAGATTATGTTTTTTTTATATATAATTTTAGATTGGCAGTCTTCATTCATTTGGATTTTCTACAATGCTTTGCATTTTTTTATATGCTTAACTATCCAGAATTTTCATATATCTTTTTCATATATATTACTGTATAATTAACTCTCATGTATATGCAGTGAATATTCTGTAAGATGACCAGTGATAGTTTTAAATTATTTTGGTCTTTAATGCCAGTGGTTGCTATATGTCTGTTTATTAGAGATTGTTACCTAAGAAGGTTTACTGTAATTGCAAATCTAGTAATATGTAATACTTTGAAAGAATATTATTTTTTCTTTCTAAGACCAATATTTGGGATAACTAAATCAAAAGTGTCTTTATTGATCACCAAAGCATCATATAATTAAAATTAATATCCTCTTTTTTTTTTTTTTTTTTTTTTAAGGTGGATGAAAAAGACCAGCTCTGCTATTCATTGGACAATGGCCGTACTAAGTTTTATGATTTGTTGCAACTTGTAGAATTTTACCAGCTGAACCTTGGATCTTTGCCCACCAAGCTTACTCATTTCCTGGTGCATAGGCCTCGTTCTAATGGGCAGCCAGAATGAATCAGACTGAATGAAAGATCATATATTTAAGACAACATTCCCATTGATCTGTGATGATCCTTTTATTAGTGTGCCTGTAGACTTGTGCCAATCTGACCGTTTTTAACGGTGAAAATGACTTAGCCAGGGCATAGCAGACAGAAGGTCTTCTTATTGAAAGAAATTTTATTCTCTACATCCAAAAGAAAATTTAAAAATTTTGCTCAATATTCATGATATATTACATTTTTTATAGAGGCATGCAAAAACAATTCAGCTTTTATTTTGATTTTATTTTCTTGTAGAGCTTAAAAAGTTTAATGCTTCAGTATTTACCTGTGCGGAAGCACGTGTGAGAATAGTATTTTCATTTCTTCATTTAAAAAGTTATGTAAATATCTTTGTAAATTGTAAAAAGTGGTAATTTTGAATTTTTACATCATTTAGGTATTTAAGAAAAAATTTTGCATTTGGCTGAATTTCTGTAGATGCTCAGATTTTTAAATTAAACTGGTCTATAGTTTTTGCATTAGTCAACAAAACTAATGCAAAAAAATTGGTTTTGAATTTATTTTGCCTTATAAAAGAATTCGTAAATTATGGGAAGAAATGTTTTAAAAAATGTAAAATATTTTTTGGGGCAGAAACAAAATAATCCCTTGCCCTGGTAAAAACAGAATGCCATAGAGAAATTGCAGAAGTAATTTCAGATCCCATGGCATATGAATGAAAAATGTTAGAATGAATTAATTTTGTGGTATTATTGGATTTATTTAATAAATAAATAAATAAAGCTGTAATATCATGCTGAGAAATAATTTCTTTTGAAAATTCATTGCTTATAATTAAAAGTATTTAATATTCCTAAATTTTTGGAAATATATATTAGTCCAGTTATATCTTAAGAAAAGTTCAATATTTATTTTAACATGAATTATAATATTTGTACTGTAGAAGAATAATTGGATGAATATGAAGTTCATAATATGAGTTTTTCAAATTTTCATCTGCCATGTAATGAAATAACAAGTAGCTACATAAACTACAAATACAGCATTGAATTCTTCAGAAATTCAGCCATGAACAAAACCCTTATTTCTCAATTTCATCTTATTTATTTTCATTAAATACAAATAAATCATTTCCTCTAAACTGTGAAATGAAGGCAAAAGTTTATATGTTGTAGGCTGAGTCTGTTGCTGTGCCTAATGGTTATAGTCCTATCATATCTTACCCCACCTAACATAACTTCTCTGGGATCAATATCTCCTCATGTGTTGAACATGTATTTGCACTTCAGGAGGGAAATATAAGGCTTAATTTATTTGAACTCTGTGAATGTTTTGATGTGTGTACTTTCATGCTGTGTCAAAATATTTTATTTTTGCACCATGACATACAATACTGCCATGATAAAATTCATGTTAATGCTAATAAAATTCATGAGTTTATTTTAAAAATATACTTTCCTATGTAAGTTTGCATTGTAATATTATGAGGAAGACATCTGTGTGAAATAAGTTATGTTTGAACAGTAATGTTATCTGCTATTTAAATTTAATTACAAACTGTGTGTGAAGTTTCCTTTTTTAAACTAGCCTGAAGCACAATCTGATAACTGTATTTAGTAATTGAAAGCTGAAGTTAAAAAAAAGGAGGGGAGGGACTTCTTGTGTGTGTGGCTTATTTTTGCATGGAGTAATTAAGAATAAAATTCATGTTAATTTTAGCTTTCATTCATTATTTGTACATCACTATATTCATTGTTAAAGATGATTGAATAATTTCTGATATAAAAATATAGTAGCATTGTCATAACTTTTGAGCATTTCTGTTGTGAGTTTTGATTTATAGGCTATTTTGAATTTTGATCAAGTTTGTTTATTACTGTAGTTTGTCATCTAAGTTTCTTTATTACTTTAGTTTGCCATCTTTGAAAAGAAAAAACAATTAACACCCAAAACTCCACCGTGTGTAATAGGAAATAGTGTAATTTGAAAGAAAAGTATTTTTCTAACTAACTTCTTGATTCAGATTCATAATTTTATTGCATAAAGTTCATTGATTGTGTTTATACAGCAAAATTTGAAGGTTTTAATAGTATTGTTGTACTGAAACAATTTTACTGCCTTGTCACTAATTCTAGTACTGTACAAAGTTATTAGATATTGAAGTATTCTTATGAAGGTGGCAAACCATAACTTCTAGGGCTATTAAATATGGATACTAAGCATTTTGTCTTATGTCTGTGTAACTAATATTTTTTATCTGTAAAAAAATTGGAACATATTAGAATAACTTTATTTCATATATTAAGAAATTAGCATTTTGTAATTAATACATAGTTATTTACAATAATGTAAATATATAATAGCTGGCTGAGATTTATAATTGCTTTTTAGTAACCAGTTAGCAAAGTATTTTTATTTTCATTTATTTTCTTAGTTGTTGTTGTTGTGGGGATAAGGGGTCAACAGTTTCTATTTTAATTTTTTTAATTTGTGAAAATTCATTTAACATGTTCAAAAATGTCCTATCATAGTGTTTTTAAAGGCCTTTCATGATAGTAGATTGTGTTCCAGAAATGAAAATTCATGAATGCATGTTCTTTTTCTCTAGCATGTTTTGTGATTGGAAAAATAATAAGCATCATTAAGCATTAGATGGAAAACTAAATTAATTGTTTTAAACAAATATAACTTTTATACTAACAAAATCACTATGAAATATTAAATATTTATTTAAATTATACACTTTTTAAAGCCTCAGTTAAATTCTCTTATGTAAAAAAATCAATATTTTTTAAAATCAAATACTAATGATTCCTATCCTATGTACTGCTTATGTAGAGGAGTGGATTAGTTATTGTATAATATGTAAAACTTTTATTTTTTATAAATCTTCGAACAGTTTTTGTATAGTATGCTAAATATTATACTGCTTAATCTGCCCCCCACCCAAATAATAATAACAACGTAAAGCAAATCAAGCACATTGCTGCATTATTTTTTACATTTTTTCCACTGCAAAGGAAAAACTAAATTACATTCCATTTTTATCTAAAGATTGTCAGAAGGGAGAAGAAAATTTAACAGTGTTTGCTTTTAATACATATTTAAATTTCGTTTCATTTTAAAAATAGTTTTATTTTGCACTTATATTTATCTTGCATGTGATGTGCATTGTATTAAAAAATTTAATTGCAATATTTTTTCCCCTGAAAAAGTCGAGGGAAAATGGATATTCCTTGATGATGATGATTATTTTATGTTTACTTCCTGTTTTGCCCATTAATCAGATAGTTTTGTGGAATTATAAGTTCTTTAATAATTTTTATGTTGAGTATGCTGCAGTATGTCTATTGAATTAATATGCTTCAAATGAGAGTGTACATTTTGCATAGAAATGTTTTATCAAGACATTAAAAAACAGAAGCATTAATTGTGAGCATAAAAGTTAATGCTAGTATGCTACAGTAACTATTGTATATGCCCTGTTTCAAATGAGAATGTAAATTTTTGTCTGGAACATTTTTTATGGACACTAAGGGGGGGGGAAGGTAAGCATTACATGATTTTTTAATTGTGTATAACAGTAATGGCAGTATTGCAAGTATCAACTCTCCTACCCTGTCTATGTTGTCTAAAGTGATGTCTGTTTCTGTGTTTGGATTTTCAGATTACAAATGAGGCAGCTTCTTAAATCCATTAATATTAATAATGATATGTATGAGGCAGCTTTCTGAATTTTTTAATGTTAGTAGCACAGTTACTACTACTACTTCATTGCACTTTCACCGACTTATCTTCAAAATTAGTGTTTTGTCTGCCAAAAAATGAAAAAACAAAGTGAAATACCGTAATTTGTGAGCTTGAAGGCTGTTCCATTTAAGCTATTAAGGGAGATGATTTGTATTTCTTCCAAGATTTGATTCATCTTTCACATTCATATATGGAGTTTTGCTATTAAGAAATTTATGTATGTATCTAACTTTAAGCTTTCATTTAAACATTTGGGGGGGGGATGAGCAAAAATTTGACATAAATTGTCTGCCTTTTTAATCATCAGAGTTTTAAAATCAATCTAATGTTTGCAGATGCTTGAAATCCTATGAAAAATCATTTTGTCATTATTTTTATGTTGCATTTTTTGACAGTAACTGATGAACTGCTTGTTGTAATGTGTGCTGATAATGTCATTCCATATATAGTAATACCAATGACTTCAGTCCCCTCTGCCAGATGAAAATAACAACAAATTTGCATTATTTTGATATATCTTTATAATAATGACCTTTTTTATAGATGCTTTGAAATATTTATTTAATAATACTAGGCATAATTTTGTGTTTCTAATGCTAAAGTATAATTTATCATAAAAGCTATTTTTTGTATGTGTAATTATTGTATTTACTAGCATATTACCCCTTTTTTTACTAATTTCATAATACAAATATTGAATGTGGAAAATTATGTGAATAATCAAATTTTGAAGGATGCAGTAACAGTAAAAGAACAAATGAAAAGTATTCATGGATAAACTACTAGTAACTCTCACAATTTTATTTATTTAAAAGAAATTTAGATTTCATTTAAAATACACAATATCAATATTATAGTGGCTATTAAAATACCTTCATTTCTACTTTCCTGTATTTTGAATCTTGCCCGCTCTTTACTATTATCTACTGCTGCTCCCTAAGCCTCAAATCATGGAATGCTGCTGAACTGTTTTTGTGTTGGCTGCTACAACTTGCTGTCATCAACCTTGCCAGTCAGTTTGCCTTTCCACTTGCAAAGATTTTCAGAAGCATCAAAAGTATTAGATAACCCTGTTTTCTTACAGTTCTTCACTATTATTGCTTCATCAATCAGATCCCATGCACCTAAAATCCATAGCAAATCAATCAGTAGGATGAAAACGATCATGGCTGAATCCATTTTAAAATTTAGGGAAGCTCTTTTTTTAATCTTTTTTGGATTGGAAGGGGAATTATGTGAATAATATACAAATTTCTTGAACCTTATACTAAAAGCTGTGGGAGAATATGCATGTAAATATGATAATTAACTTTTGTAACAAAGAAGTCTGTCTTTACAAAGTACAGTTGCATTTTTGAGCATCTAAAAATTAACATGTCTCCCAGTTTAGTGTGTTCAGCTGATATCAGTGCTGTTCCAAAAGTAATATTTGACTTATATGAGTTTTACTTAAAATAGTAAGCATTTCATAAAGTGATTTTTGCTTTATATAAATAAAATTTCTTGAATGTACCACATGAGTATTTTATTTTAATAAGACAAAATAATAGCATGAATGAAAAAATATTTGATCTTAAAATGTGAGGTGACTTGTGTTAGAGTTTGTTGCTAACATTTGACCATTCTGTAATTAATTATACAAAGGGTAATTTTTTCTAGATCATACGAGAGTTTCTGAATTTTTTTAATAAGAGTAGAAGAAAAATTTTGTGAAATATTTGTAATATATAAGAAGTTCTTAAATCAGGCTCAGTTATACTTAATTTAAACTAGTGAATGAAATGTAACATCCTTAAGGCTCAAGGTGCCCTAAGAATTCGGCTTAAAATATCAAATTAAATATTGTATGTGTTATATATATATTACATACATATCTAGTGCTAGAGAGAGAATGTGAGCAAATTTTCATAGCTTTCTAACTGTGAAGGGCTTAGAATTTAAACTTTTAACTACTGTGAAGTATTAAAAAATTCTTAATATGCAATGCTAAGGAAATCTGAAAATGGTATTCAAATTTTATACTTCTAAGTTGATGTTTTATTATAAAAACTTAGTACTTCAGTTTGAAATGAAAATTTTATATTTTAAAAGAAAGTTTTTGTTATCTATTAAAAATTAATAAAATGTATACAAGTAAATTTTTTAAAATTATTTAACCTATTATAGAAGATAGACAGAAAACATTCAACTTAGATATGTGGTTTGTGATGTTATTCATTCGGTATATTTCACTATGCTTAGGCAGAAAAATGTAGTTTTTGAAGAATATACACACATGAGGACTATTATGGTCTCTTGAAGTCATTTTAAATCAGAATATGCAAATGGTTTGTGTAATTGCACGAACAAGCAATAAATGCAAAAGTAATATACTTTCCATAAAATATTTTCTGATTCAGCTTTAAACCACATTTTTGTAAAATTAGCTTTTGCTCTGTAAAGGAAAACTGCAGTAAAAAGAGTGTGTTTATGTTTTTTAAGTATTTCTATTAGTAATTATTTGATGTTATTGTCTTCTCGTATATATGCATTTGGTTCAGAGTAATGTTGTAATATTTATATTTAAAATTTTCAAGTGAAAAGGAAGTTTTTTAAGGTATTATAAAACTCTCAAAAGAAAGCATTATTAAAAAATGCATGTTAAGAATAAAGAGAAAAAATTGTAAATATTTGTCATGTAATAGTTTTATATTACAGATTATTAACTGTGAAAGCACTGCACGTGAGTTATTAGGTGTAGAAGAGAATTTGCAATTATAATGTTTCACTAATGGAACTGTTGAAATACTACTATGAAACATGTATCATCTTCATTAAAAATATTGATGTGACATTTCCATTAATGAAGATATCATTTTCCCTTACTTGAAGTATTCTCTGAATGAAGTTTATCACTGAAACATCAAGTAATAGCATTTAACAATTTCTTGCTGTGCTGAAATATTTTAATATAAACATTCTCTGAAATGTATTTTATTTTTGTTTCAGTACTGTATTGTGTGATTAAGTTTCTAAGTAATGTAATAAAATCCCAGCTGTCATACCAAAGTTGTTTTTGCTTCAGGTAAAAGTTTTATTTTTTAGAAATACGAATTATGATATATAGTCTATATTTATTATGGGTCATTCATAGTAGTTTGTTAAGTATCTTTTGTGCTTTGAAATGTATAGCATTATCATATTTTTGTGTAAATGGTATTAAATTATTTACTGCACATCATTGTTTAGTTTCTACAATTCATTTTTTTTACATACTTATCTATGTATTTAGTGTATTTATTTCTGTAAAATACTCTTTAATGTAACATTTATAACATGTAAGCTGTTGTAGCATTATAAATTTGTGATTGGCCTATTGGCACAGTCCTCATACCTATGCAATAAAAATGTTTCTCAGCAATTTGGAGTTTCATTTATATGGAAGAAAGTATGTTGTTAAATGTAAGGAAAAGTAGTATCTTTTAAATGTTTCTTTCAGAGTTTTTTGAAAACATCTTAAAATAGGTGAATATAATTTAATTTAGCATCCTCTTCTCGCAAGATTGATTGGTAAATAGAATAAAAACATTCAAGAAGCAACCACTGACAGATATTGCCACTAAATAAAACACAAGCCTTTTAATTCACATAACAGATTCTGATTATGTTGCCTTTCAGCAAAGGGTAAGAACTCAAAATTTCAAATTTAATCAGTGTAATGGATTAATGAAACAAAAAAAATTAAAAAGCAATAAATGCACTTTTTAGTAATTAAAATGTTTATTTTTTTTTATTAATGTATCTAATTGATAAAAGTTAAATCACATTTGATTCATAGTACATTTTAACTGGTAAGTTTAGTAAACGTTTGCAGTGATGTTATAATGAACATATTACTCGAAATTTAAGCCACAGTAGGATTCAAAAATTAGGAAATTTGATAAAATAATAAAAGGTAATTGTTTTAGGTATTGAAGAATACCTATCATAAAACTTGGATTTTTAAGATCCAATTGTTGAAGAATGGAGAATCAATAGGAGTACAATATTAAAATATTTGCTTTGAATTTAAGTTGCTTCTTAATTTTACAGCTTAAAATTTTGAATAAACAGTGTGTTTTATATTTGAAATAACACATTAAATATTTTTAATGGCATATGTTACATACCTAGCAAAAAAATTTTGATTTAAGGGAAGGGCAAGTTTTTGTTTATTATTATTTTATTTGAAATTTAAAATGTAGGGCTGTTTTAAATATTTCTCTAAAATAATGTGTAAAGCTTGTAGAATTATTTAAAATTTTTTTTAAAGCTGCAAGCTCACCCCTTCCTTCCCCAAAAAATAGCTATGCCCTTACTGAAATTACGAGTTCTAGATCTGATTGTTAGCCAGATGTGTTAGTGCTTGCATTGCAAAGGCATACAAAGTGATATTTTTTCCCATTAAACAAAGGTGACTGGGAAGAGGGGAATGAGGCTTAGTCGGCCAAATAATAGATGTGATAATGAAAAAACATCCGCCACTTAAACATTATTTGTAGAGTTGTTAGGTTGGTTTACAAAGCTAAACATGAAAAATCAGCAGTACCTAATTCGAGCTCTAGATCTTTCAGTTGCTAGCTAGACTTGCTGTCGCATATACTATACGGACTATAACTGTTTATTCTGGTTAAACATTAACAGTTTAAATTGTCATTTATACCACACAGTGAGAAAGATGAAAATTACTTATATAAAGTAATATTTTCTGTTACATAACAATGTATAGTAAAATATAACACATGTGATATAAAGTTGAAATTGAATTCATCTCATAACTGTGCATTATTAAGTTTTTTCTTTTAAAATGTGATCTGAGATGTTCATAGTTACACTGCTTGAAATCCTCAGTTTATCAAATGCAAATTGTTTATTAACATTAAAAATAATGAGCAATATCAGAAGATTTGACTGCAAAAAGTGGAAAATAGTATCCCTCACAAAAAATAAATACTGATGATAATTTGAATAAAAATAGAATATGAAAAATTGAAAACTTTTCTTAGTAAATAGGTTTAGATCTTCCAGCTATATACATTGCTCCATGCATGTTAGATTGGATGCATTGCATGAAAAAGAATTTTTTTAATGCGATTATTTGATAAATTTAAAGATATGTTGAATAATATATAATATTGTTACGAATTTGGTATTGTTAGTTCAATTATAAAAAGCTAATCTTAGTTCAATTATAAATTAAATGGTTTTATTTCTAGCGCAGTGCAGCGCGTGACGAATATTAACAGAAAGCTAAGCCGGAAAATTGAAAATACAAGAGCGCGTGCATTAAATAAATAAATAACTCTTTTTCATTTCGAGAAAGTACTGGAAAATTCTAGCGCGTGATTTTAAAATGTTATAAAAGGAGGAAAACATCTCAGTTTGTAGTAGTTGCTTAGTTTGTTGTTGTTTAGAAAATTGCTCTTGTTGATTGTAGCGAATTCGCGGATTAGCTTTTCGCGGAAAAAATTTCTGAACAGTATGGTTGAGCACGTTGAGAAGATCCGCGCTGCAAAAACCACGGCTGAGAAGTTTACTGCCGGGTTCAAAGCAGCCATGACACTGATGAGATTTGCTGAAAGTGAAGAGTAATCACCAGCTTAGAAGCATTTGAGGGAATTTCACAATGTTTACGATTTCTTTCACTTTTTCAACACACAGGTTCCCCTGTTTACAGCAGCAGTACAGCAGAAGCTCGGGGTCAGTACTTGGGTTGGTGACCACCCACGTGACTGGCCTCGACGTAGCATCTTTCTTCAACTAGTGAAGATACATCACAGCTTGTACGGCGGCCAGATGCTCCTTCTCCAAAGTCTACTTGACCAACTCACGTGCATTAGCACATGTCTCTGCTTCACCTTTGTCGGTGCGGTGTAAATCACCTTAATTTTTAATTCTTCCCAACGCCTTAGGACATATCTCCAACAGAGACGGTTAAAGTAGCAGAGGCTACTAAATGCCGCTTAACCATTCACTCGATTTCGATTTCAGTTTGTAGTAGTTGCTTAGTTTGTTGTTGTTTAGAAAACTGCTCTTGTTGATTGTAGCGAATTCGCGGATTAGCTTTCTTGCTGTTTTGAATTACGTTCTATTGGACATTTGAGTAGTTAAAAGATAACTACTGTGAGATATTGTAACACTGCATGATAATTTGAGAAGATTTAAGCATTTTTGTTGTGATAATAATAAATTTTTGTTCATTTTTCATCGGACTTGTGCATTCATTTCGTAACGAACCCGTACGCACGCAACAATTTTTGGTGTCAGGAGTGGGGTTTAAATGCCAATCACAAGAGCGATGGAAGAGCAGTGAAGACAGCTGATATCAGCCTTTGCTGCATTTAAGGAAGAAATGAAAGGAGATGAAATCTGGTCAGGAAAAGATGGAAGCTGGTCAGAAAAAGTTGGAAGCTGGTCAATTAACGTTTAAAGACGAAATAAAAGTTGTTAAGGAATCTGTTAAAGAAGAAATAAAATCCGTACAAGTAAAGATTGAAGAAAGTCAATACGAAATGAAAAGAGAAATTGCCTGCATAATAGAAACCAAATTCAATGCTATGGAAGGCAGAATAGATGTGGTTGAAAATAAAGTTGGGCATATTGAAGAAAAGGTTTCTTCCGTAAAAGTTCAAATTGAAGAAAGAGTTTCTTCGGTGAAAGAAGAAATAGAAGAAAGAGTTTCTTCTGTAAAAGAACATATATATATATTTAAAGAAAAAGAAATCCTCGTGCACCACAAAGTGAAAAGAACATATAGAAGAGCGAGTTTCTGCCGTCGAGCAACAAATTGATGATAGGGTTTCAGCCGTTGCGAAAGAAGTCGAAATTAAGAAATTCGTAGCGACGGCAGGGAACAATAGTGATGGCTTTAAATTTCTGCCCATGCCTGCTCGTCCCTCTCTGAAGTTATCTACATATGATGGGAAGACCTCCTGGCAAGTGTATAAGACCCAATTTTCTATAGTTGCGGATGCGAATGGATGGGATTCCGACGCAGATGGGACGCAGATCGCCGATGGGATTTAAGAGCCGACGCAGCGAATATCCTTCAGACTCTTCCCGAAAACAAAAGGTTAGATTTCGAAGCTCTGTCAGGCGCCTTGGAGCTGCGCTTTGGGGAGAAGTTTTTAAAAGACTACAGCAGGCTCCAACTAAAATCCCGTCAGCAGAAGCTCACCGAATCACTTCAGGAGCTTGCCACGGATGTTGAAAGGCTGTCACACCTTACGCTTTTTCGGAGTGCCCGACAGAAACAAGAGAAATCCTGTCGCTGCAACATTTCATCGATGGCATCCGGGATCCTGAAATACAGAAGCTCTTCGAATGGCGATGTAAAGGACATAAAAAGCGCTCTGTTGTACGCCATGAAGTTCGAGGCAGCCCAGCAAGCAACTAGTAGAGATCGCCTACCATTAGAGCTGGGCGAGTCCATGAGCCAGTGGAACTGATGACTCGTTTAGATGATTTAGCCAGACAATTCGACGCTTTGATACGGAGTAGGAGCGAGAAGAAAGTGGCTCTAACGTGTTGGAGATGTGGTAGTGAAGGTTACCTAAGACGGAATTGCAGAACGCCCCAGGGTACGGAATATATAGCAGATGATTTTACAAGACAAGTCAGTGGCTTGAGACGGAACAGAAGTGAAAAGAAACTAGTTCTAAAGTGCTGGAACTGCGGAGGTGAAGGCCACATACGAAGAAACTGCAAAACACCCCGAGGTACGAAAAATAAGACCATTCCCAGCAACGACGCAGTAAAAAATTAGTGACCATATCGAGGAACGGAGGTTGCCAGATAATGAAAAATCTTGTTTTAAAGCGCTTAAAATTTATACAGTGAGTGGCAACAGTAACGGACTGTCCATTAATGGGAATATCGAGGAGTTCCTTGCAATATGATCATTGACACAGGAGCTAATGTTACCATCATTAGGAAAGATTTAGGTGAACAGTTTAAAGATAAACTTATTTGAACGCCATCCGTGTTACCCTTCAGACTGTGTCTGGTGATAAGATTGACATAGCTGGGAAGTTAAACATGAACATCACGTTTGGAAGTGCAGCCTACCATCACACGGCATATGTGGCACATATCACAGATCCATGCATACTTGGATTGGAATTTTTAAGGAAATACAGTTTTTCCTTAGGACTTCAAAAACAACAAACTGCTTTCAGCATCTGATGGCATGACTATCCATCCTCAAAAAGATCCTCGCCTGGAAATGCCGACGCTTGTCCGAAAGATACAGCTCGGGAAGCTGCCGAAATCATAATAGGGTCGAAAAGAAACACAAGACTACCAGCTCTTCTCCAGCCCAGATGCTCTTCGGTCGAGACCTTCGTCTGCCTTGTGACCGCCTGTTTGATCGCCGTACGGCTG